AGGTTTGGCAACATAAAATCTAGTCATTGCATAATCCCAAGATATTAAATCCTTCAATAATCAATGCGTTAATCAGCCATTCATTCACTTACCAAACAATATTAGGTATGGTTAGTAGCATCACTAAAAATATTCTTAAACAATTATAATGATCTCATCACAATTTTACAAAGAAATCCATAGCCATAATAAAATGAAAATTTATCTAATTAAAAAGGTGTTGTTTACATGTGCATGTAAATCCACGAACATATACCAATGAGCGAATTGATTCCATTTATGATCATATATAAATTTAACCCGCATTCATAAATTTAGAGATAAGAACACATATTACATTAGTAATAGAGATATATAGGAAAAAAAAATTAAAATTAAATAATTATATAGATTAAACAAAACAACTTTTTTTCATAGGAACAAAGTACAATATATATTTTTGAAATTATGTACTCATAATCAAATTATATATAAAAAAAACTAATAATTAAGCATACCCTATGTTAAAGAAGGACTAAACACATACATTACCCACAATCAAATGCAACAAACTTCTCGAAGTTAAGATTTGGTAAAAACTCATTGTTATTCAATATAATAAGAGAAAAAAATAATCGTAACCAAACACCGAAAGGGAGTAGAAAAAAGTAAAATAAACGAACAACTTAAATTTCACGTAGATAGAAACTTGAAGTAAAATAATTTTCATTAAGCATTTCATTAAATAAGAAATTGAAATGATTTTAGATTTGTGTTGTTATTTTCAAGATATATACAGACAATAAATGTAAATTTACCTTGTAAGTATTGTTATGTATTTGATAGATGAGAGATTGAGTCACCCAAATTGATGCAATTGTAAACAAATTTTTTTGTTTTTTTTTTTTTAGTTTTTTATTTAACGGTAGTATGAGATAGAAAAGAATAGTTTTATCAAACTTTTTGGTAGTTATTATGTATAATTTGTTTTTGGTAGTTTTTTTTTTTTTTAATCCCATGTTAAACTATTTAAAGATTGTTGGCATTTTTTTTTTTTTTTTTTTTCATTTTTTACTTTAAAAAGATTATATTTTTGTAGTAAATAAGTATTTTTATAAAGGTTACTTTTGGAAAGGGAAAATTCCCAACCAAAAAAGGGTGTTCCCTTTAAAGAGTAACATAGATAAAAAAGGCTAATCACAATTTTCTCTATAGTCAGTATAACTATATACTCCATAACAATCTCATTCTTCATATATCACATATTTCAGTGTACCATTAGTTTTGTATTTTAACATCATAGGACAACTTTTACTTCCTTCGTGTTTTAATAAGTGTTACACTTTCTTTTCACAGTCACCATTAGTTTTGTATTTCCACATTATAGGGCAACTTTTACGAGTTATTCGAGACAAGTTCAAATAATGTTCACCGCCAAATAAATATTTGGATTTTATCAATTTATACTCCTTGTAATATTGTTATGGTTATTCTTCAATGTTTCACAGTCAAAATTTCAATCATTGATACATACATGAAAGAGAATAAATAATTGAGAGATCTCAATTATTTGTGAATACAAGTACAAAACTTTCAATGATACCAGGATTTTGAGAAGAAAGTTCATGAAAAAAAATAAAGTCAAAGGAGACATACACTTCCTCATAATTATCAACTTACTTGTGAGTTATGTCAAATTAAACTCATTTTGAATATTATCAAGTTATTATATACTGGAAGACAATTTACAACACTGGACATGATCCTAAATCACACGTCTAGCTTATTGAATATAGTATCTTAGACAAAAATTGAGATGATACTAGATTACTAGATCAGATCAGCTAATTGATCACTAGAAATAATAACTTTTGGTTGCTAGTTAAATTGATTTTTTCTAACTAAAAGAAATATAACGTAAGATTAATTGATTAAAATATGGCGATATTTAGCATTTTACGATATTATTTCCACCACAGTTTTGAGTGTAAAAAATACTGTAAAAATCAGACAAAGTCAGCAAGTACATTGATTGATTTACTTTTATTTTTTAGAAAGAATTTTGAGTTGTTTAACCTGTAGCTTTTATTCAATCTAGGAACTGGTATACAGAGTAGACAGAGCAGGGGATATGATTTAGAGCAACAAAGTCAACGGGTGGTACGCTTCCATGAACTCATGTATCAAGCGTGCGTTCAATGTCTTAGGAAATTTTCTGGTATACTGAATATGCCATGCTACTTTGTACATTCACTCCATTTATTAAATACTACGGAGTATTTGTCACTTGTAAGAGAAATCACTAAGCTACTTATATACTCCATAGTTATATAGTGTGTGTAATACACGACTAATAATCAATAGAAACTTTCTCGTAGTCACTATTATTCATATTGTTGATACCATCTTTCATCATTTTATGTACAAAGTATTATCTATTTAACTAATCTTCCTAATGTGATCATCTATTAGTTTAAATGATGTATGATATATTATGGTGAATACGTAATATACCTTGCCATTTGACTCATAGGGAATTGTATCAAGATCCGACTTAAGATAGTCATTTATTGATTGCACGCTTTTAGGAGAAATTATTCTTTGCAAATTGCTCTTTGCCATCTTAATTTGGAACTAGAGGAATGACACTAAGGTGTAAAAAACTGCACAGTTCTTATGTAGTAGTGTAGTACTAGTGAGTATACTCAAAATAAATTTGTAATGCATAAAAGATATGGAGCATTATTAAAGATAGAGTAGAAATGATCCTTTTAACAAACAATTCAAAGATGTTTTATCAACTAGTTATTACTCGTATGAGATGCCAGAAGATCATATGATTTCTCTATTTGTACAAAATCTTCTGACAAGAAGCTTACCTTATTAATTAAATTATCGAGTACTCTTTTAATTACATTAATCTAAGATAAAGTAACTACCCTTTTTGAGATCATATGTTCATGCAAGTAAAATAATCCGGATTAAATAATCATAATAATAGAGATTTGAAAACCAAACTTTGAGAAGCGAAGACTCCCTAGAAAATGGAGTGTTTAATCTTGAAAGATGAGAATTAGGACAAATATTCCCTAAATTTTACTGCGGTCAAGGTTGTAGTTTTGTAGAGATTACTAGAATTATGTCGGCTCTTATTTAGAGATGCTGTTTTTGTTGTTGCCAAGCGTTTGGGACTTTCTACACCAATACTTTATACTCCGTACCAACTATACTACTTGTATATGAGTATATGTATTGTAGAGTGTATACATATTGTATTTGAATAAAACATCTTAATTATATACATTTGGATGTAAAATGCACTTAATTGTAATTTTTGCTCTTTTGATAATTGATGCAAGGATATCAAATCATCATACAAGTGAAACATACCCTTAGTCCTTAGATCGATGCATCCGTGCACCTTGCACTTAAGCAAGTCTATACAAAAATCTCTTGTATTTGGAAAGCAACAAAAAATACAAGGGCTAGCTTAGCTAGCTTCAAATGTTGCGCACAAATTTGTGAGCTACATATTTATACGAGTATTATTTACTTGAAGAATTAGGAATGATTTTCACGTTTGTTAACAAATATTGTAATAAACCCATATTGTAAATTAAAGCAGTGATGGCCAATTGGAAAGAAGACAACCTGTTCATAAACTGTAAAGACAATACCAATTGACTAAACACAAGATCTAACCATCTAATGAACTAGAACATTTACAGTTCTTAAGCAAATAATAATGTTAGGTGATGACTTAATTAACTAGCTACATTATTACACCATAAGAGGCATCATTTACACCTTGATCATTATACACACAATTATCACAAAACCTCGGGTGAAACTATTTATTTAAAAACTTTAAGTTTACCACTCATCAATTACTATCTCCGTTAATTTTTAGTTGTAACAAATAATACTTACAACTAAAAATTAACAAAAGTAGTAATTTATATCGTGTTCTAGTCAAAATCAAAAAGAATTTTTTATATCTCACAAATAATACTTACAACTAAAAATTAACAAAAGTAGTAATTTATACATTGTTCTAATTAAAATCAAAATTAATTTTTTTTCATGCTGTAAAAAAAGGAGGGTTAAAATCTGACAAGACGTGGTGATTCACTGCAACATGCACATGGGGATGGCTGCTATGTTTGTTTCTGAATCTCCATCTTTCTGACATTTTATAATTTCTCTTTCTTCTTTTTTTTTTTTCACTCCTTTGACTTCCGATCCCATCACAACCTTACTTTCCTTGACCATTTTGATTTTGACTCTCTCCCTCATTTTATTTATTTATTTATAACGCTCCAAAAATTATCAAGATCAACATGCATGCATATGCATTTCTCATTTTCTCCATCCCCTTTAATTATTTTGGGAATATGAAAACTTTACTTTATAAATAAATTTTAGTACTACGGAGTACTGAATTGTCATGTTGATAGACAATAGCTGGGTAAAAAAGATGACATTGTTAATGTTTAATAACACAAAAGTAACCTTAATCAGAGTTTGAGGGTACAGGACTGTTTGTTAGCACAACTATAGTAATTTTATGTGCTTTCGCATTTAAATATGTGTGTAATCCTTTTATAATTAAACTTATAGTTCATGTAATTGAATGATCTTTTAATGTCTCTAGCACGATAGTAATTAGCAAAACTTTGACTTTACTTCAATTTTTTCATTGTAACTAAAAAAATCGAATATTGTACTTTATAGAAAAGAACATAAATAAGGGCACGAGTCAATTTTGTCAATAAAGAGTGTAATTATCTTATGAAATTGAAAGCTTGATTATTCTTTTTCTTTAATTAGTAAGCATAGTTATATTTTTACCACGTAAAGTATTCTTACATTGTCCTTCCATTCAAATTTTATTGTTACATAAGTTACATTACCTTATGTTACTATAATTGAAATGGCCTTTCAAAATGACCTCTGTCAAATGGACATATACTGAGCAATGGTCCTCAAGAAGATGGACCATATGGGCTGGGCCAAGTGAATTACAAGTTGGGCTCAAAGCATTACACAAGCAAGCTCAACGTAAAATTAGTACGATTACCTACACAAAAGAAAAGGACTATACGATATTGTAGGGTCAATACCAAAAAGAAGGGGAAAAAAAAGTGAGAATAGAGATCAAGGGAAAAGGCCAAAAAATTGAATCATTATAGCTTTAATATTTCTATTATTTATTTATTTTGTTTTGAGTGTGAAATTTTAATTTCAAAAAAATTGATGCCTTTTGAGGGAGACAAGCGTAAGGACCATTCTAGAATGATGAAACTAGAAAAAAGGCTTTACTCTCAAAAGTCAATATAAAAAGAGATGCATCATTCCCTTTGTAATCATGAGATTAGAAGAGAAATCAAACCTTTTAGCAAATCTTAGATGGGTCCCTCTTAATCCATCTACACTATATACAACAAATTAAGAGAAATTTTACCTAATTATATATCACAAGAAAAAAAAAATGGTATTTCCATTTAAACCTAAATTATAAGGTAACCAAAAAAAAAAAATAATTTACTTACTTAACAACATGGATGCAAATTTCTTTTCATCTAATCATCTAAACTAACTATATTCCAAAATAATCACACTAAAAGGTAAAAAAATCACTTGACTTAGTTTAGCTGAGGTTGATCAAGCTGAATATTTGATGCACTGCTCTGGCTACATCATCTGCTGTTCCTAGTTTACAATCATCTTCTATCTGCAATTTTTTGGGGAAAAGAAAGAGATTGTCATAACCATATAATTTCCTGTTTAATTATAAGCTCATATATAATTCGTAACAAGTAAAAGTTATAGCTAACGCGACATATTGCATTATAACTTTGTTACTATGTACACAAGGAAAACACTACTGTGTGCACACTATAATTTTGCTAACAAGTCTGGCTAATTGGCTAACAATAAGTCAAGCGCAGCAAGGTCAATTGTTTAACACACATACTCCGGCTTAAGGTCGGTGTTGTTCATCATACAACCTTCTAACCATTATACATCTGAAGTTTGTAGCTCATATATCCTAAATTAATTCTTCTTTTTCACATAAAACCAAACTGAACTAATTAAGTACGAAGTACCATCCATTAGAATGATTAATTCTAACATTATAGCACATCGACAGGACATAGGATAAGACACAATATAAGACAGAAGATCTAAACTAAATATCCAAGCCATTCAAACCAACATGCAGATAAAATCCTCAAAAAGAATAACCATAACCATATATGATAAATGTATTTATGTATGTAAGGGCCACATATTATATGTATTAACGTATTTAAGGGCCACATATCACAAAATTTTGATATTGTATAACAAAAAAACATGCTTGTATTAAATTAAAAGAGACAAATATAATATAATGTAATGTACGTACCTTAAGATTAAAAGAGTAGTGTACTAGGGTATGCAGAGAAGTAATGTTGAGATGAAGAACAGTGAGCCTTAATTCTTCAAAGGCAACAATTGCTTTAATGAGTTGACCTTGTCTTCTTTGACATTTGATTTTTAAGTTTACATGATTTTGAATTACAACCACTTCTATTTCTGCTATTCCTGTCTTCTTTTCTGCACTGAATTCCTCATTGCTTTTCCTTATACTTCCTTCTCCTGATTCACCATTCCCTTTCCCGTCTTCCAGGGAATGGAATGAAGGCGATGCCATGAACATGTTACTATTAATGCTTAGATTGTTCAAATTAGAAGAGGATGGACTGACTGAAACGTCGCCGTTTTCTTCAGTTTGCCTCATTTTCTTTTGAGCTTGTAGAGATTGTAGCATTTGTTCCAATTCCTTTACAAAATCTATTGCTCCTCCTATAATTGATGCTTGGTCACCCTGCATTTTTTAATAAAAAAAAATAAAAGGTCATAATCAATTAATCAGTACAAATGTACAATGACAACTATGATTGTTATACTCCATCCCTTAAAAAGAAAACAAATTTACACTAGTTATATGCTAGTAGTCTAGTGCTACTGATCAATTTTTCCAATAAACACAAGTACAAAGAAGGGTGAGTTTAGACAAATTAAACGAGAAGTTGATAATTCACATAGATTCAAAAACAAGGACAAAGGATAAACTAACCCTTTGAACATAGGAAGGAGGCATGAGAGAACGAAGGGCATTAAGATGTTCATTCATCTGACGACGGCGGTTGCGCTCAACAGCAATGTGTGTCATTCTTTGAGTCTCAACCTCTTGTTTGTTCTTCGCCGGCCTCGTCGCTCTCTTCCTCTTCCTCTTCTCTTTCACCGGAGCCGCAGCCGGTGCAGTAGTGCATGTTTTCACGAATTGCGTCTTCTTAGTAGATCTACCATTACATTTCTCAACTTTTTCTCCAATTTCAGTTGTCTCAGATTTCACCCCAGGAGAGTGTTGTATGTCCATAATAATCATACCATCATTATTATTAATATCATTACCACCAACATAATTACCATGATTATTGTGAAAATGATGATTAGTAGTGGTAGTAACACAACTCTCAACTAGCTGATGTTGTAGTCTTAGGAGAAACTGGAAATTTGTTGGTTCAAAATGATGAATTAATGGTTGTTGTTGTTGGTGGTGTTGTTCAACAGTTTGAAGCATTTGTAAAAATGGCATCTTATCTTCTAAACTTGGAAGATAACTTGCACCACCTCCTTCTTCAGAATAATAATTGTATGGATCTTCATATTTCATACTTCCTGCTGTTGTTTTTGTACTGCTTGTAAATTCCTCTAACCAATTACCCACTTCCATATCTTCTGCAATCAACTGCAAAAAAATAAAAAAAAATTTAAGGAAGAAATAAATAAGGGTGTCATAGAATGGAATTAATAGAGAACAAAAAAGAGCAGAGAATTTCCATATTCTAGGCAGATATAATAACAGGTATAAATTAACTAGCAATAAATGCAAAAGAGGAGTAAATGCAACAAGGTCTACATCTATAACTATAACTATGTTTGATATATAAACCAAAAATGAAATAAAAAGGTGAATAGTATATAAAATAAGTAAAATAAATAGTAATAATAAGTACTAAAAAGAGCAAAAAGGGAAGAAAAAATGGGAGAAAAAAACATACAAAGGGATTAATGGGACCTTGGAGCTTCTCCATTATAGCCAAAGTAGTGGGTTTGGTGAAACTCCAAAGTACAATTTTGCAATAAATAACCAATCCTTTCTTTTGATGATTAATAATTTTTCTCTCTCTAAAAAAAATTGATTTTGGTAATTGGGGTGCAGTGCAGTGGAGTAGAGTGGATGGTTATTTCTAGAAAAGCAACATATATTCTTGACTAGTATAATGCCATAATAATAAATGTTACCTTCCCAATATAGTATAAAGTTTCAGGATTATTTTATTTTAATTTTGCATAGGAATTTTAAACAGAGCAGAAATTATAAGTTTATTTTTTTCAGAAAGAAGATGAAAATGGTGAAGAAGATATATATGGGGAGTTCTGAAAGAATTGGTGAAGAGAGAGGAGGAAGAAGAAGAAGAGGAGAAAGTTAGAGTTGTCTGATCTGCAAAAAGAAGGTCCCCCCATTTAAACATTATTGGCGTGGCAGATTTGTCCACCACCGGGGACACTCTCTCTTGTGGGGACACTCCCTTTCTCTCTCTAAACTTTAGGGCTTTTTTCTAGTTTCTCTATTACCAGTAATTGTTCTAATTTGGTCGACATCTAAAATTATTTTAAGTGGAAAGAACGGAGCTTAATTGACGCATTAATAAAAGATGAGTTGCGACTTTTTTCATATACGGAGTATAAAATAAAGTTCAAGTACGTAATGTATTTGTAATTAGCTGGCCTAGTATTTGATAAGCTTAATCTCTAATTGTGTGAAGATTGGATGTCTTCTGTACTTTTCTATGAATAAATAATTTCATGGAGGATAGTTGTATTTTCTTTTGTGTTTTTGCTTTTACAGTAGTATTTGGTTAATTTGTTATAGTTTCCTCCTTTGCCCAAATGCTCAGCAATTTGCTATTTTCTTGCTATAGTCCACTTTATCTACCAGGTGATGCATTACTCACACATCATTTTCTCTATTTAGACCGTTCATAACCATATTCTTATAGATTTTGTACGTACATATCTATTTCTAATGCAAATCATATCAACAATGCACCTCTACATAAAATGCTTGCTATATTTTGTTAAAAAAAAAAATTATCACTAAAAGTTAGTTAAAGTAATACTATGTGAAGTTGTGAACAATATAAAAATCAAATCTTTGTAATAAAATAAAGAAGAAATTCAAAATTCATAATGCGGTTTACAATGGAGTCTAAAATTCAAACGCATCACTCTATTGCAAGAGGTCATTTTGTTAGTTAGGATCAAATCTCATTTAAAAGGGGGTGGACTTGAGATAAGACTATTCGTAGGAACGAACCAAAAATTTATCCATGTCTAACAAAAATATCAACTATCTTAACCCTTGATCATGATTAGCATGAAGATGGCCCAACATAGTCAAAAACAAATGAGGGTAAACTTTAAGTTAAGAAACAAAAAATTATAGTGAAATAAACTCCCTCTAAAATTTCCTTTTGCATGTAACGTATTATCTTCTATCAAGTAGAGTTTGATTTTTGATATCAACAGCCAAAAACAGGAAAATTGGTTACCAAACTAATATGGATAGTATCCTTGGATTAACATTAAAGGGCTAAATTTGAGTAGCAATTCATACCAATCAAATATGCATGAACAAAGCTGCAATTCACTATTTCTCAAATACTTTCTCAATTTCAAACTAATTGCAATAATTTGCTTTTTACACAATTTATATAAACTTAAATGTCACTTATTGCAATTATAAAAATGAAGGATTCAAGTGATTTTGAACAGTAAAAGATACCAATATACAGTGAATATCCATCAATTATGAGAACCCTTTTCATACAAAATTGGAGTTGTACATCAATAATTTAACTTGAATTTGTTGCCATTCTTGGTAATAAGGGTGAAAAAAAGGGGGTAAGAGCCAAAAGATACAAATACAAGAGTGGGCTAATATTAAAAAAAAATAATAAATAAATAAATAAATAAAATAAAATAAAATAAATAATAATAATAATAATAATAATAATAATAATAATAATAATAATAATAATAATAATAATAATAATAATAATAATAATAATAATAATAATAATAATAATAATAATAATAATAATAATAATAATAATGGATGTCGGAAGGAAAAATAAAAACAAGAAGAAGATAGGACCTTAAAAACTTGGATTAATGGGTGCCACGAATGAATGAACAAGATAAATAGAAAGATAAAATGTCAATAAACTCAAGACTAGTACTCGTTGAAGAAGAAGAAGAAAGACAAACATCTACTGTAAATAGTGGTTTGGCATGTTACTGTACACTTCCGTGTAGATCCCGATACTAGGTACAATCAAATCACTTTGTTTTTTTTTTTTTTTTTAATAATTACTAGTATTAGTATTATTTCTATTTTACATCTTTCAAATGATATTTTATTTTAAATTATAGGATATTCTTAAATTTAAAAATAAAATAAAATTAAAAAGACTTAAATTCCAAAAGCGTACATTAAAAACAAGCTCATATAAGATAATTTATAAAAAATTGACACAAGCTCATATTACAAATAATTCATGAAGTATGTAAAATAAAACTAATCTCATACTTCGTATGTGATAATGTTTCTTTTTATACATTAGCTTAAAAATAAAGTTGAAGTTTTAATAAAATACTCATACGTATAAAAGATTAGGCAAGATCGAATAAAAAATATATAAACTCATAACATTATAATTTATTTTAAGTGAAGGTTTTTTTTTTTTGGAAAAGTATTTAAGATGATGAGACTTGCTTCCATATTTTTCCAAAAAACCTTCTTATACAGGATTAATTTATTAAAGTCGGCTAAGGTTTGACCTTGCTATGCAATAGAATTATAGAACAAACAAGACCTCACACTAAGGGTATTGACCTTTAAGAAAGTCAACTAATAAAGACTCTTGACCTATTAAATTAAAAAGAAAATTAAGGAAAACTGGTGTTAAATCAAATAATATTTGGCACTATTACAATGACAAACTCAAGCACTTTCAAAGCTGATCTTTTTGATGCCCGAAGTATCTCGACAGGAAAATCCACTATTATGAAAACTACTTTTCAAGATAAAGAAAAAAAAAAAAAAAAACAGGGAACAAATACAGAATTTTGCCTTAAAATAATGTAAAAAATAAACCTTCCACCTCCTATTTGATTTCATAATATCCACTCGATCACTCATTCATAATTACTCAATTTGAATTACCTAACTCAAATTCAAACTAAAACTAGAAACAACATAACCCAATTTTGACCTGTCGAAAAAGTAATACAAACCTATATTAATTATTTTTTTTAATATAAGCTACTTTAATTAACAATAGACCCCGTCAAAAAAAATTAACAATAGACCCAAATATGACCTGACTTGGAAATGACCCAAACCGATACAGAGACTTAAGGAATACAGCCTAAACAGCCCATTTGCCACTTATGGCAGCAATCAACAAATAATCAAACCAAAGATGACACAAGTAATAGCACTAATCAGTTAATCTATCCAATTCAAAAATGATTATAGCAATCTTGGATTCTGATAATAAAGCCTAATAAAGACAAATCTTTTCTAAAAGGACACAATTTCATTGATAAATTTGTTCTATATCATAATTGCTCCAAAAACTCAGTTACTATCAACCGGCCACCCCACCAGTAACTGCTGCATGTTGCAGGAAACCTCATACATTAGGCAGTATCAATGTCTTGTAAGACAGGTCTTAAATTTCTTCCACTCATCCCTTTCATCTTGATAACTACTATCCTAATTTAAGCACCTCCTACTTTTTACATCCAACTAAACAACCTTATTACCTCTTACACCCCCAAAACTCGTCCCTATCACATTGGCAGTCAAAGTCGGCGAGCAAGTGTCCGCCTATGTTATCCGGCAGATGGATAATTTTTTGGTAGCATTAGTAAGATAATGACCTCAAAAACAGAGGTTACATAAAAACAGATGCCAAATTCTAGGCACTGTAACAAAGTTTTAAAATATTATCTTGGAAACTAAAAGAACCTAATTTGTTCCCTTCATTCTCTAGAATATCAGAGCTAACCATTACTATGATGCAATATGGTGTGGCTATGTGAGCTTCATGTTAGTAAATGAGTAAGAAATACAATAAAAAAAATGGCATAAATTTTCTAGAAATGCAGAAAAAAGTACTTCGTAATAATTATTCCTTCGCTAGTTCCATAATTTAGGTCAGCCCAAAAGAGGATACTCTTAAATTAAAAGACTAGGTAGGTGGTGGGATGTTCATCAGAGGTCAAGGGGCATGTCCGAAGCCAATCTTTGTCAAGTCAGACAGGGGGCCAAGTGCTGATAATAAGAACTACTATTAGCTGCCCTACTAATGCAGGCAAGTATTTCTTTTAGAGCTAATCTGCAAGAGTTTGAACTTTGGACCTACCATGGGAAAGGAAACACATTGTATATGTAAGAGATGTTTTTTGCCCTCTTCCCCCATTTGTTTCATTGACAATGACACTAAAATGTCCATCTACCACAGATACATACAAGCGAGTAACAATACAACTAAAGCGTGATATTATAACACAAGTCAATTACGAAGTATATCTTGAAGAGAGAGAAGAGAGAGGGGGGGGGGGTAACATATCTTATCCTCTAACCAAGAAGGTGTGACTTCTGGTGTCTCCGTTGGGTTCTTATCCTCTTTCTTCTGGTTGAGAATCAGCATGGCCTAATGCTTTTGCTGTACAATGAACAACGACAAGAATGAGCCAATGTACGAAGAAATAGAATTAGCCCTTCAATAAGCACAGGCTTATCGAAATGGAGATATTACATCTCAATTTGCCGAGATAAGGACAGGATTAAGTACATGTTATCTGAAGTACTAATACAAGTATACAACTACAATGCTAACATTTTGTTACATAAAAAAATAAAAGGATTCCACTATTCAAACATAGATAATCAATTAAAGCCTTAATCCCATAAGTGGAGTCGGCTACATGAACCAAATTTGATTATTCAAACATAGATAATGTAACACAAATTAGTGAAAAATAGGATTCCATTAATTTCTTTAGGAAAAAAAAAAAAAAAAAAAGGGATTCCATTTCTCGGTCATAGAGCTCAACACAAATTGAAGTGTTCCAAATCCTAATAGTAATATTAACTGAAACAGAACAAATACGTACTGTAAAATATGTTGAGAATGATTTTTAATGAGGAAACTCAAGCTCATTGATGGTATCTCCTGGATTTTGATTTATCACATGGAACAACGCCAGCAGATCTACCACCATCAAACTACCATCCAAAAATAATAACATAAGAAAAGAGATATTAACTGTGACTGGTAACTGAATGAGAGGTACCTGATGAGGAGCGGATTAAAATCCATGACCATCAGACTAGCTGCTGTAGGTCCCAAGGATCAACGGGTATGATGCAAGTCAAAGGAGCATATACAGTTGACTCTTTTATTCCCGCCTTCCCGGCTGTCTGCAGCTTCAATTCAGTATAAAAAAAATACCGAGGGAATGCCAGATTGAAAGGAAAGACTGAAGCTATACTACCAAAGTAGATCACAGAGGACAGAGTGGACATCAGCAAAAAAAGAAGTTTCTTATTCATTTTTTAAACTTCCACAATGAGGTATCCACCCAAGAAATAGGGAGGATTGTATGTCTAGCAATAGCATGTACAATAGCCAAAAGACTTGGCAGATTTTACTGCTCCCTAGAAAAAGGCTACATGTTGCTAAACGGCTAATTAAAAATGCCAAATTAAAACTATTAATTGACAGGGTAGCTAAAAAGAACTCTGAGATCCTCAACAAGCAAGTTAACGTTCTATTTGTATAGTAACGTGGCTGATGTTGTACTCCTTCCTTATGTATTCTACCACCTTGTCCAGCACCAAGTCTGCATCTGCTTCTGGTGTAACTTTCACATGGCAAGCCAGCAAAATCTTCCCCACAGTAATGGCCCATATATGAAGCTCATGAACCGCCACTACTTCTTCCATCTCCAGCAATCCCGTTTGCAGCTTAGTTGCATCAATCTCCCTAGGAGTGCTTTCCATCAAGACTTCAAGTATATCCCTCAACATTTTGATAGTTGTCCATAGAACAACAATTGAAAATACAAGAGTGCATATCAGATCAACTATCTTCCATTCGGGCTTGTTCCAAATGATTCCTCCTCCAATCATTACACCAACACTCTGGATAGAATCACCAAGAACATGCAGATAAGCACCTTGAACATTTATATTCCTCTTCTTCTTCTTCCCACTACCTTCTTTCTGGTTGTGCTCATTGTGACCATGTGAATTCTCCAGAAGCGGCTCAGCATGATTATCTTCATGAGCATGGTGATGTTCTGCTTCTGTATGCTGATGACAAGGACTTGCAGTCACTATCACTCCATGGCTATGGGTATGACTATGACTGCGCTCCAGATGCTCGCTCCCATGCCCGTGCCTATTATCATGATCGTGTCCATGACTATGACCATGTCCATGCCCATGACCATGGTCATGACCCAATACAAGAGCCATTATTATGTTCACTACCAGACCAAAGGCAGAAACAACAAACATCAAGAAGCCATTAACCTCACCAATCTCATTTATGATCCTGACAACAGCTTCGTAAACCAAAATACCAACAAGAAGCCATATAAGTTGAATGGACACCAGGGCACCCAAAATTTCTATCCTCAGAAACCCATAAGACTGACGAGGAGTAGCCTCCCAGCCTGAAGCCCACAAAGAGAACAAGGAAATAGCAAAAGCTGCAACATCTGAGAGCAAATGAGCAGCATCGGTTAGAATGGAGAGACTGTTGGCTTTGATCCCACCAATAACTTCTACAGTCATAAATATAACACAAAGAACAACAGCAATAAGAAGCTTCCGCATGGAAGCTGATCTTTCTGCAGCATCTGCTGAGCTTGTTCCAGCATTTTCAAATTCACAATGTACTTCCCCACAAAACTTATTTCCTCCTCCAAATCGTCTCTTTTCAAGAACAGGATCCCTTTGGACTTCAACAATGTGGCTATCATGACAGTTATTTGGTTCCATCTACATAAAATAAAAAGATCAGAAATCAATAAAAATTAAAGACAGTCTTATTGACATATTTGAAAATTGAAAGAATAATAACAATCAAGTACTTATGATCTACTCATATCAACCTTTCCAAAGTATTCCACCATATCCTATATAAGAACTATCCGACCACAGAAGTTGATATTTAATAACTATGGAGAAAAAATCATACGTAACAACCATGAGCAATCCAAATAGCATGAAGAACAAAAAGATTCTGAAAATTCAGCCCTGTCATCTCAGACTATCCAAGATAAGACAGAAGTAATCACACATTTAAATTACAACACACATAAATTACAGTACTTAAACTAATTATATATCTTCTGCCTATAGGAGCCATCAAATGAATTCAGTAATGGGCAGTGAATGGCACACGAACAATTGCATTATACCGAAGGTGGTGCACACAAATTTGTCAAGGGCAAACAGTAGCAAGAAAGCATTCCAAGAAACAAACAGCTCGGTAGTGCAATGATGCGTCAGAAATATGGTGATTTGATGATTCATTCTAGAGCAACTTTTGAGAAGAGCAACAATTATGATTGTTGTGAGCTACTCTGTACTATGAAAGCATAAAGAAAAAATATTTACATGATATCTAAAAAACTAAATAAGTCAATAAGAACAAGGATTCTTATTCAAACATCGACAGTCGTATGAACTACTTAGAGATATACACCATGAAAGAAACTCATCAAACATAAATTTAAAGCCTTTCCTCAAAGTTGTCCTGAAACTGATTCTGCTTTTTCAAATGATATCTAAATATGCTTTTTTTTTTTTTTTTTTTTTTTGGAAAGATCTAAATATGCTTATTTCATTAGCTCTTTGAGACATGAAATACAGCACAAATAAACTAAATCAGCATTTTGTATTTATATTCATGGAATCTACAGGATAAAAATAGAATTTAACAAATAAATTCCTATGAGTGCATCTTAGCAACAAACAGAACAATCCAGGCCTCATAATCAACAAATTTGACACAACAAAGCAGATTGTGTGCTAGCATAATTTTAGTTCATTTATTCTGACCATAAAAACTGAGGAACAATCATTCCAAACAAGAAAAACATGCCACAGGAAATAAAATTTGCAGATATAGGGTTTACTATATGAAATCTAACTTATCAGTGCAATTTTCTTCAAAACTTCATCACTTGATAATTGTCCACTTAACCACTTTCCTCTAATTCTTTCTTACAAATTTTGATATTAGATATTAACCAAACAGTGAAGCTATCACACATTCACAATCTAACGTAAGAGTGCATAAAGCATTTATTTTTAAAAGTTGACCAAATATAAATTCAAATGATTGAAGCAAATTTTCAGATATAATCAAGGAATAAACAATACTCCCAGCGAGTAGACAAAGAAATGTTCGTCTAACCTAGTTAAAAGAGCATGATAGGGTTAAGCATGGCAAGGGAGGTCACAGAAAGCACATGGTTCTTCCTCATTAAAAAAGGAGACTTAAAAAAAGGAGGAGGTTCATGGTCCCAGAAAGAAATAACTGACACTCATGGTTAAGCTGAGGAAATAATCTGTTTCCGCTGAAACTTTTAAGCTTTAACAGGCGGGACATTTCCCTCTTAGAGTTTCTTCTCTCTCGCCCAAAAGAATATCAATAATACAGTGCCAAAATATTTCCATCCAAGACCAACCGTAACTACCATACATAAGAGAGAAAAATTATCCACATAACTGCCCTAAGATATTTAACCCCTACAAATTTTAAATTCCAATAACCAAAAAGAAAGCTGCAATGCTTATCCAATTTCAAAATCCTACCTTAAGAAACTCATATTCCCACCCTGACTTAAAACTCATACTCTTAAAAAGAAAATTTCTACTTTGCAGATAGAACATTGCCCCTACAACCAAGACTCAAAACTAAATTGCAATAGTGGGTCCACAAGATTCTGATTAGGAGTGAATAAACAAAATTAACAAGTGCTTCAACAACAACAACAACAAAGCCTTAGTCCCAAAATGATTTGGGGTCGGCTAACATGAATCGTTATAAGGAATCGTACGATATAAAGAAAAGGGCATAACAAAATAATCATTTGAAAGAGTTTGAAAAAAGGTGAGTAAAGTGAGCAAACGAAAGAGCATTTAATAAAAATTAAGAAGTGCTTCAACAGCGTAAAAAATAAACCCACGACATAATGTTAATATCCACTACAGAGGACAAAGTTAGATTAAACTCACTAAGAAGTATATATAAACCAACCACAATTATAAAAGTACAACCAACATAATCAAGGATAACGAACTATTGGAAATACCAAATTGATTCTAAATTGCTTTGTCAAAGTCATTGCAAACAAAATTAAGACATACTTATTCAATTTTTTCAATCTTGAAGCTAGATAAAATCATTGAATTCTCAAAACTAAACCATTAAAGCTTGAACTAGTAGCATATAAAATGTGAGCAATACCTTGTTACACTTGTCTTCAAGAATCGACTAAACTAACCAAGCAATGACCAAAAGAATCCAAGAGGATGAATTCTGAAGAAAAAAAAAAAACAGGCAGTATGAAAATATCAGATCAAATATTATAGAGCATAATTCAAAAAAAAGAAAAGGAATTACGCTCAAACGACAAAATAGAAAGGAAATACAGAAATTCAATACTCAAAACACATAGACTAATTACTTAAAGAGGAACCAAAGGGGCTAAGCAGCTCTGATAATGCTACTATGTGCGTGTGCGTGGCAGTGCATCTGATCAATTGATACAAATGACTGGTAAATCAAGTGCTATATCATGAATCTATCTATCAAAAAGAGTTTTAGAATAATGAGAGGTGGAGGGTATCGAAGAAATGATAATTGTTACAGCTTTTTGGGATATGTAAAGCAACTTTAATGGCATAGTGCATAGATACCCTTATCTTCAAAGAGAAAAGGGGAATCCCAATTAATAATTCTAGACAATTAGAAGATTCCCATACTCAAATTATAGTAATGATTAGGCAACTAATTGACAATCACAATGAATTAATCAAATTATTACTTCCCAACAATATTCTTCAAAATCACAAGAATTATTTACAAAAACACCAATTGATTTAAACAAATCTACAGCAAAAACCCAGAAACGCAATCAAAACAGAGCAATAATAAAATTAAACCACAAACCTAAACAAAAACCCAGAATTAAGAATCTCAGCACAATTAGATGAGCCAATTAAACAAAAACCCAAGAGACAAAATCTGAAAACATAATTAATAAAGGGAAGAATGATACGATAAGGACTTGTAAAACAAATAATAAAACATGCCCAACACTAAGTACAGGAATTATTCAATGCAGCAGGTATTAACTGAATATTCAACGATTTAAACATGCCAATAATTATAAACAAACAATAATTGAATTCGTAAACGCATTAACTACAAAAAAAAATAAAATTAAAAACATATTTTCCAGAAAATAAATTTCAGGGGAAAATATAAAATTAAAAACTTACAGAAAAAGATGAATATTTAAACTTTGATGTTTGATGGTGGAGCCTTGAGAGAGAAGAACCCTGAATTCGTGTTTTGGGTTGAAAAAACTCAGATTCGGTAATTGCAATAATAATAATATAAACATAAAAATAATTTGCAATAATACAACAAAATTTAAAGCCTAGTTAAAAGTGACCGAGTCACCGACCCACTGAGTCAGAGATATTAATGCACAGTAACTGTTTGATAAATTGCCAATGAGAGAAAACCTATTTACCTATTTTTGGAACTTTTTTTTAATGGGCCTGTGATATTTTCTTCTTTTGTTTCTTTTTGTTTGTTGTTTTTGTAATTTATTTTTTATTTTACTTTTTGGTTGAGATATTAAGTTTGAGTAGGACACTTGGACTAATAGGATATGACCATGTCACTGTTTATTATTTTGTTGTTTATACTCCGTACCAATTAAGCTTGTGCTATAATGAGATGGCCAGATAGGGATGTTTGGTTAAGCTGTCTTGTCTAATGATTCAAGGTTTGTACCCGTTTTCTAGGATTTTCTCCATGATTTTGGGTCGGGTCTGAATACCTAATAATATAACCAACTTCGATTTGTACTTAACTGTTATCTTAGATTTAAAAGTTTACAGTATTCATGTTGTGGAACTATTAAAGATCAATGCATAGTATGCTTGACTCAATTATATATTTGTGCGTGGTTTATTGAGATTCATTGAGATTTAAGAGCATGTTATATTGCTAAAATATTATTAAAATAATATCATGAGATTCTATTAGTATAGTAGTAGGTAATAAGATTAAGATAGATAGATTTGAATAGGAGATATACTGTAATTACACTACAAGAAAAAGCTTGATTTCGACGGAAAAAATCTGTCGGAATTATCGGAAATTCCGTTGGAAAATGGTCTACCGACGGAATTCCGTCGGAATCAGTTTGTCGCAAAACACTTTGTAGGAAATTCGATAAACAAAGTGAAGTTAATATTGAGATTCAGCCCGTCTTATGTGTGGCTGGCCACACCGTGTGGCCACTTATAAAAGAACAAAGTAACCTCTTAAAACTGACCAAGTAACCCCTGTTGTAATACTGACCGAGTAACCTCTATAACATTGAACGAGTAACCCCTTTAACACTAATCAAGTAACCCTTATTACACTAACGAAGTAACCCCTTTAATGATTGGCCACAGGCCACACGGTGTGGCCAACCGCATATAAAACTCTGTGGGATTCAATATTGGTTTCTATAAGATAAATTAACGGCGTGAAAATTATCAGTAGTCCGTACAAATTAACTTTACTATTAAATCTCTTTTATTTTTGAATCCTTGACATATATTGACAATACGTTGACACTATGGGGTAATAAAAAAGTGTTACCTCACAAAACAAAGAAATTATTCCCACTAAGAACATGATAAGCATATTGATACATCAGTACGTCACAATCACATGAATGATGAATAGATGATAGATTGATGTCAATATGAAGATATTGTTGATCATATAATAATACAGTAATTGACCACATATTCATACCCCCAATATGCCCATAGCTCACTTTCCTACTTTGCCCTTATATCTTTAGTGAACCTTATTGGTTGGGCCTCAAAATCTCAAGTTGGGCCAAAAACTCACAATAATGTAACTTTTCATAGGCCAATGAGCCCAGATGTGCAAGGAAAAGTATTGCGAGGGCTTGGCCCGCATGTACGAACCTACCTTTCAGGCTTTAATGGGTTTGAAAATTTAAAACAATTAGGCTCCAGTTAATTGGATATGGTCAGCCTCTATTATGAAAAATATGTCAATTTATAAATTTTTCTTACTCCGTAGCAAGTTGGTAAGATACGATCTTATGTATCAGGAATCACTCGAAATCGTAACTTAACAAATTAGCATTTCTTACGTCATATTTACAGATTTACTTGAAATTGTAACTAAACTAGCATTCCTTATGTCATAAGTTGGTAAGATACGATCTTATGTATCAGGTTCTACACGTAGTATAAGAAATCGAGGCAAAAATATGAAATTTTTAATATATTTCGTATTAATTTTGGATGACAAGAGTTGCAAATACATATCCTAATGTCTTTATTATTTTTCGAATTATTGACTTATCTTTTAGCAAGCTCGTAGCGAATTAGCTAGTATAGGTTAATTTCAATGGTCGAATCTACTCCATACACAAACTTCAGCAATTTTGTGTGTGGCTGACCACACCGTATGGCCATATGTGTCCAGCTAACACACGAGTAACCCCTGACCAAGTAACTCCTGATCGACCGAGTAACCCCTAACTGACCGAATAACTCCTAACTGAGCGAGTGAGTAACCCCTGGTTGACCGAGTAACCCCTGACCAAGTAACTCTAACCATTCTTTCAAAAAAAAAAAAAAAAGAAAAAAAGTGACTGGCTACACTACCACATATGAAAGTTTGTGCACAAACTTTTAACATGATTTGAAGAGTTGTATATAATAATAATAATATTTGTGTATAAAATTCAACGGGGAATAAGGTGTCAATAATTTGCATCAATATTGAATCAAATTAATTTGATTTACACTTATACTATTCATACATCATACCTAAAGAAACTTGCATAACTACTATTTAATTAGGAATAAAGTGAGAAATATAAGCATCTTATTCTAGGGCCTAAGACGAATTACCAAAGAATTTCCAAGCTAAAGTTTTCTGGATTAGTTCCTTTTTCTTTTTCTTCCTCTTTTTTTTTTTTTTTTTTTTGATGTTTTTTTATGTTTTTTTTAGGTGCATATATATGCTGTTTTTGACAAAAAGTGATCATTCACAAGCTTTATCAACATAGGGGATTACAACCCTTCAATTTTAAAGGATTCGTTTAACCAATCTGTACTGGCCTGGGTTACCAAACCTTTTAAACTGTAAAAGGAGACATTTAGATTTAATTGTTATAGAATGAATAACATCTATGGAGAACATGCATATATGTACCAATACCATATATAACTCCATAACCATTAAATATTTGGATATGATGTATATATATATGTAGTTGTGTACGGTCCTCATGATTCTTGCTAACTCACCTTTATTTATGCATAAAATTTGATGATTGTAAACATTTAACATTAAAAAAATCCATTAATTTAAACCTAGAAAAAGAAATAATCCCCTCATATTATTCAATTTATCCAATAAACAAATATTAATTAAATAGAATGAAGGAAATTTATACCCTGTAATCTATAGTGACATTCACACGCAAAATGAGAGAATTAAAGAGAAAAGGTCAACACGTACATCAAATCACCAAAAAAAAGTTGAAATTTTGAAGCATCAAGAGAAAAAGAGTATTTAATACGAGTATGTAAATAACGCACGCTTAAACATTATAGTAACAAATCCAACATCCAACATTTATTTACACAAAATAATGGGTTATCCTTTAATTTATTTGAACTTAAAAAGTTAACTAGATTTTCATTTAAGTTGAAGTGAAAAAGTACATAAAATCAAATAATTTTCCATCCAAAAAAAAAATCTTTTGATGAAGTTGGCAATTTTGGCATATAATATAGATAGGAAAAGTTGGATGAGAAGCAGAACAAAAAAGACGAAGTTCGGCTTATTCAGTGGTAATATTAATTAAGAAGGCTACGTAAGTGTACACTTGTTGAACGTGTGCACAAGTTGTGTCAATTGAATGATAAAAATGAGGCCACTTTTATTAAACTCCAAAATTAGTTGCTCGACATTCGGTTTATTGAAAACTTTGCTTGCCCGCATCTCCCATGCACCGATTTCATTATTTTTGTATGAAATGATAATATGATATGATATGATGCTATTCATTAATACTCACCACCTCATCTGCAGTCACTCCCATACTCCCATCATTATCACTATCCAACTTATTATTTTTACTTGCTTTTACTTGGGGTTCTATTCCAATATTTCAAACTATAAACTTTCCAAATGACAAATTACATATTCATAAAAGATGAAAAATGTTTAATCCCAAGTACGTCTTTACTAATCTTTCTAGGATTTTTGCAATACTCATTCATATTCTTTTTATCATCCATTATGAATACATACAATGTCAAACATAGTATGTGAGATACTATTAGTTTTCTCTCTATTTACGCTTCATAATTTAACCTATGGATGATTAAGGGTATTAATAAATAAATTAATATTGTAATTTGTAAGTGGTGAAAGAAGTACTTTCGAAAGGGATCAAAGCATAAAGATTAAAAAGTGAAAGGGTGTAGTATTTGTTAGTATATGGTAAATTGGATAAATATATATTTACTTACGCTCAAGCGGAATATGAAGTTTGGAAAGAATAAGTAGATAAAAAATAGCACAAATTCAACACCTTACACGAATCACCGGAGATAATAAAGCATCAATACTTTCCTTTACAATTGTTGCACTACTATTGAATTTTAGCCAAGAAATACTTATTACACAAACCTCTGTAAAACCTTAAACTTGCACTCTATAAATAACATTTATAAAGCAAAAATAAAATAAAATGTAATCAAATATCAACATAACAAGGAGGATTTCCAAGCAAAGGTACTTGACCATTGGGATTGCTACCACCACCATTCTTAAACCCTAACATAACATCACATCTTACATAAACCCTACTATGTCCACTCTTAAACCACCCTGCTTTATACCTCACTCTTCCCATCAACACCCAACTCAACCCTACCACCCCATACACCTCGTCGGCCGCTAACCCCTCCACCACCTCAGGCGGTGTAGCTACCGCGGCATCACCACCGATCACCGGAGACATCATCACGGTGCTCCGCTTACGCTGGTGCAATGGCGGGAGGGGAGCCGGCGGTGTGATGGGGTGGTTCCGGTAGTGAACCGCCACGGTGAGGCGGTCGTAGTGGATGGCGGTACGTTTACTAGGGTTACGAGTGAGGATAGTGAGCTGAACGGAGGTGGTGATGAATGACGCCGGCGGGGAGGTGGTGTTGAGGGAGTACACGGCGGCGGAGACGGCGGTGAACTGGGGTTTCGCCGGGCGGTAGAGCAGCCATAATATTAAGACGGTTATGCCTATGAGTATTAATAAGGTGGTGATCACAGCACATAATAGACGTCCACTTTTATTGTCGTCGTCGTCATCGTCATCGTCGCGGTTGTGCTTAGGTGGGGCCCGGGATTTAGGAGGAGGGGAGGTGGGGAGGAAGATTTGTTGAGGTGGTTGAAGAGGTTGTTGAGGTGGTTGTAAAAGTTGTTGAGGTGGCATTGGAGGTTGAGGTTGAGGTTGCGGCGGAGGGGTGGCGGAAGGGGTGGGGCGTTTTTGGAAAGGAGGGTGAGAGCCGCCAGGAGAGAATAATTGCTTTGGTGGTTGAAGAGGTTGTTGTGGGGTGGCAGGTGGATGTTGGTGGGTTGGGGTTACTACATTAGCAGGGTAAGGTGGTTGGTGATCGTCGTAGTCGTCGTCATCTTCGTCGTCCATCTTAGGGAGGTGGTGTTGGCGGGGTGGCTCTTCTCCCGGATACATGGAAGTATGTAGCTAGGAAGATGAGGAGGGATGAAGAGGCGAGGATGGAAGCAAAGGAGGAAGTTATTATTATTTGAGTGAAGAGTGTAGGGAACAGTGTGTGTGGGTGTGTTAAACTCAAGTTGGCAAATGCATGCTTTTTATATGGGTGGAAGATTAAAGTTTGCTTTGCACAAATAATTTCGTTATTAAGTAGCTAGCTATTTGTATGAGTTGTATCAGATAACTAAGAGTCTAAAATCAGTTTGTAATTTGCATTTTTCCATACTCACTTTATGCTTCACAATACTTTATCTATTTTTCTAGTTTCATAATTTGTCCCGCCAACATAATCTTTATTTTGATTCAAAATTTTGTAATAAAGAAAAGAAAATAATTATATAATTGTATAAAAGTCAAAATGTTATAGTTACGCAGTATCTTTAAATGAAGGAAGTTGTTAACCTTTTTCCTTTATTTTTTACTCTCTATATCCCAAATTTATTACGACATTTTTTTTCTAGCTGTCCCAAATTAATTGCAAAACTGTCTTTTTCTTTTTTCACATATTTTATTTGCCAAAATATATTATAAAGTACGGAGTAATTCTTCTTTCTTTCACCCACCTACCAAAGGTGTGTAGCAATCTCAAAATTGAAATGGTGCCCCAATAATGCCGGAATTCTTCTTTCTTTCCTCTCTATTGATCGAGTATTGAGACTATTTACTACATAATTAATCTGCAAACGTACCCATTCGGCCATTCACTCAATTGACTCAACCTAGTTTTTCATTTACTCTAAACCTTATGCTCCACCTAAAAACCACCCAAACTGTTGTGTAACAAAGAAAACATCAACGTTAATTTCTGTTATTGTATCATGATATAATTGAAAATATTAATGTTACACTTATAAAGTTATAATAAAAGTAGTTTAATACGAAGTCCTACGATATTATCCCCCCGGCGTCATTTTCTTCATTTTTTAAAGGGATAGAGCAAAGGAGGAGCACCGACAATTGGATGGAGACGCATCTGCATGAAAAGTAACACGTGGCTGCATTTTCGCATTCGAATTCTCACTAGGTAGTGTGCATGCGCCAAACCCCGACCCTTACTCGTTATCTCCTCTATCCCTTATTTTTTGTCCTACTTTTTTATTGAAAAGAGTTAATGAGTGAAAAAGTTATGGGTTTACTGTAGTAATTGTGAAAGTAAAGATGTAATCCCAACAAATCAAAGTAGTAAGAAGCGAACTTAAAGAAGACAAATTAAAAAGAAAATTGGAGCAAATATTAAAAGACAAAGCAAGGGAGTACTTTGTATCTAAAACTACTCGTAGTACAAATGTACAACAATACGGAGTGTGTTTTAATAACAAAAGTACGGAGTAATAATAGTGGATTGCTCCGTAGTCGTTAAATATCTAATAGTCAACTTTAACTCATATAAGTAAATGAATAATTGCGTAATGGATAATACAAGTAAGTAATTAGACGAATAACCAACTCCATTATTAACAAAGAAAGATTGTAGAGTTAGATTTACTGCTATATAATCCTAATTTGAAATTTATTTTCCTCCATTTTTAAAGAGAGTCTAATAAGCATATGATGTGATGAACTATGAAGTTGACAGCTAAGTTATACAAATTGGTGGCGGCCGTCCAATTGCAAATTAAACAAACAGTACATAAGAATCAGGGAATCGCCCCAAACACACTAATATAGTCGGTCGGTTGACAATAAATCTTGGCATGGTAGGAGAATATATGCTTAATTGACTATCTACTCATCTTTATAGTACAAATCAGAAAAAGCATCAATTTTAATACCTCTTTTATTCTATTTTTATATTTCAATGCTCCCCATTTTACGGTAATGGGTATCTATCTATTTCCTCGTCTCTTGCTTTTAACCAGAATATCAATTTTCTTTTCTTTATTCTATCATAAATAATTTAATTAGTCATGATTTGAAGGGAGGTTGCATTTAATCTGAAGTCCATATGATAGTTATTTGTTGTGACTGTGAGGTTAGAGGGTGGCCGCATAGTGCATACAAAGTATCATCTAAATCCTTCACAATGGCAAAATTAAGCAGTACTCGTACTTGATAGGCGATTCGTCCTTCACAATGGCAAGTTTAAGCTGTATTCGTACTTGATAGGCAGATTCGTAACCAAATAACTCAACATTTCGGAAGAACATCCACCTATCCGGCCCTGAACCCATGGAATTCACCATGTGTAGTAACACAGTACTCTTAAACCCAAGATGCTAACAGCGAGGTTTATTTACCGTTCTACAGATAATGTATACATCAGCAAAAGTATGAAGGCTATATAACACCAGAATCGTGCAAATAAAGGGTGGATGCCATGTACAAATTACAAATTTACAAGACAATTTTCGTTCTTATAGTTGATCAGATAAAGAATGCATGTAATACAGGTATGTATATAATATATAATATCAGAAGCTCGTGAAGATAAACAAATGCTACATATGAGACCATTTTCAGCTACCACAACCCTAACTTTTTCCATGTTCCTAAATTGCTACAAGCTACAGGTATCCGCATCATCAACAATTTCTAGACAACTGGTTTCGTTCATTTGATCCTTTGTTTTTCTTCTACTCGATATAAATGGATGAAGGAAGAGACGAGAAACAAGAGTTTGTTAACAAAAGGGGAAAAATATCTATAGTTTATCATTAGCAAGCACTTGATCGTTTGGGACTTGGCGAACAAATTGTCCTTTCACCCTAGGCCGCTGCTCTGCTAGTTTTTTTCTGCTTTGATACCGCACCTGCATTTATAATCAAATACTTAGTGAGATGATCCACCATTCGACATTGAATATCAAGACATGTAAACATTTAGGCGTATGGTAATCTAGAGATGCACACAAATAGTTCAGGTCAAGTTCATATACCACAAATATTTATCACCTGATGTTTGCTCACCTTTTTCTCAAAGCATCGGTTTTTCCGTTTTTGTAGGAACTTAGCTAGAGCTGCTTCTCTTTCTGCAGAATGAAGACCCATTTTTAACTTGAACTGATCATGTACTAAGGGCTTACAGCTTTCAGTCTCCTCAATAAGGCTCGATTCCTTCATGCCAGGGGCAGTGGCATTAACATCAGTAATCTCGGATGCACTTCCATGTGCACTGAGATTTTGTTGATTACCAAAATCATTACTCTGAGAACTACTGCCACTTGGATCCACGACTTGTGAGCTGCTGTACCCAGATTGATCAGCTGATTCCCTAGCTTTAAGCTCATCCCCAGCTTGGCCACACCCTTGAATAGAGCTATGAGTCCCTGGGTCAGAGAGTTTTGAAGGACTAGTCATAAGAGGTGACTCCTCTCTTTGCAATGCTGAGTTCGGACTTCTTGCTGTTGGGCGTGTGTATGGATTAAATATTGGCTGGAATACAGCACCATAGCTAGCCCAAATACCACTATCAAATGCAAGTCCTGGTAGGGGAACAGGCCCAATTTGATGGTGAGGGGAAACTGGGTCACAATGTGCAGATTGAGGAGCAAGAATGTTGGGTTTGTTTTCCAAATCGCTGCTGCAAGGCTTAGGCCACAGTAGAGAATCAGCAGTACCTTTGATTTTTGGCAGTTCACCACCTGATGACGGGACAGAGGTCCGAGGCTTCTTGATACTGCTATACCTGCAGAAAAAGATATCTCTACATGATTATGTTCACAGCAAGTAATGCCAAAAACCAGTCATAAATGCTACACGCCTACACCAGTATCATGCACCAGTTATATAAGCACACTACTATTAATACGGAAACCTGAACATCTGCAAAAGACTAATACAAACCTCCACAACTGGAAATATATGAGAAAAAAAGCATCCACTCCCCTTGACCCCTTCCCTCCAAAATAATAAACTACACACAAAGCATGTGTCCACTGCCCCACTCTATGTAAGCAATTCTGATGCTTATATCGATATCACAAAACTTGCACTAATCTAAATTGACAGTCAACTCACATCCTTAATTAGTTCCCCAAATCTATAACAATTTCCTCGTCAGGGGTTGCCAAAATCCATTAGAATACTTAACCCTCAATTTTATTGACCATATCTCCTTGGGATACTAGAGTTTCCTATTTTTCACAATGAATCTCTATTAACATGAACAGTAAGAGGAGGGGGAGGGGGGGGGGAGCATGAAATAGTAACTTACCATGAGAAGGCAGAGGCATTAGAATGATTCAGTATTTGCCTCTCATGTACCTCTTTGGTCTCTGAATTGAGAGGTCTTTTTAAAGAAAGTTCTAGTGCAGGAGTAGAATTGTGTCCGTTAAACTCTCCATTGAAACTCTCTCCCCTTGCTGCGCCTTCTTGTTCCTTTATTCTCACAATCAAGTCAACAGCTTCAATTGAAGGTTGAGGAAGATCATGGCCAGCGATTTTAGCTCTATATGTGTGATTTCCTGGGCCTTTGCCTCCATCATCAGTTGCTATACCAGCACAGGATCCATCTTCAACTCTTGGAGAAGTTGAAACATCAACTTCTTTTGATAGTTGAACATTAGATCCTAATTTATCTGTATTGTCTGCAACAAAATGATGATGAGATGCTGATGTCAGTAAGCCCTCTTGGAATCTAGAATCCTGATCAGTGATCTAAGATTTGCCACAAATAAACATACCATCTATGACATTGGTATGTAAGGACAATCCCTCCTCCAATTTGACATCCTTAGCCTGATGTTTATCTTCTCTGCCGTTGACTTCAGTTTCTTCTCCATGATGTTTCATCCGTAAGAGACACTGCAAAATTATCATGAATACATGCTTAGCTTCTGTGGAACACATTGTATCTGGAAACGACGCAAAATTGCTACCTCTTTGTAAAACTTTGTGAATCTAATTTGAGCTGGAATTGACATTTTCCACAAGATTGGCCTCACTCACAAATCAGCTAGTCAGACTCAGGGTTTTTTTTAAACAGATTAAATAGTGATGGTGTCCAACATGTGCATAGAAAAGTGCAGACATAACTGATTGCATGGAAGCTAATGTAAAGGTGGTAAATGGGTCTTTGGGATTGGCTTGAGTCAATTCAGTTCAGGGCATTTGGGGGATGAGTCCATTGGTTCGCAATGTATCCAGACATAATCTATTTCAAATATATTTGATGGAAAAAGATCATTTTAAGCCATATGAGCTTTAGGTGGGTATTACTGTTTCAGTTATGATTTGGGTCAGCTCAGATTTGCCAGGTCTCGATGTTAAACCCTTCAATCCTTCATACCAGAACCAATTCAGCAATACTAAAATAACAAAAAGGATCAGCAGTGTAGCAAGCATGTGTTGACACTCACTTGGGCATCAGTAGCTTTTTCACTGAAGTCACTACTTCTCCAGCTGGAAGAGACATTATCACCAGAGTGATTGGTTGCTTGATTGTTCTCAAATGGGGCCTCAGCTTTATGTTGTCCAATTGTTAAATTTTGAGGATTATTCCCACCATTGTTCTGTGAAAGGAAAGAGCAATAAAATATCAGAAACAGCACTAGAAAGTTAAAATAATTCAACAAAAAGAGGTATAGAAGGTAAGATGATACAGCAAGCCTCTTCCAGACATGGCGCCACAGGTTTTTCAGTTCATTTTTCCTGACAGGCTTTACAAGAAAGTCAGCTGCACCCTTTAATAAGCATTTTAACACCATACTTATTGAATCCTGTGATGACATAACTGCATGATCATTAATAAAAGGTTATTTGCTGGAGAGGAGGAAAAATCCAACAAAAGAACAAAATTGATTGAACTCATGAGACACACTTATAACAGGAATATTTTTGCAGCCATCGTGTTCCATGATTAATGTGAGAAGAGCATATCCAGATATTGATGGCAAATCCAGTTCAGTTAATATGAGGTCTATGCTATTGTGCCAGCGCTTGAGGATTTCCCAAGCCTTCAATCCATCTGAAATAGCAGCAACTGCCAAATAAAAAAAAAAAAAAAAAAAAATGAATAAGAGCCCATTTGATTCAAAATATTCAGCTGGTGCAATCAGAAAAATAGTATAAAGGTTGAATGAAACATGATGGCGAAGAGTAAAAGGGAAGAATAAAAACTCAGCATATAACACAAGTTTTAAAGCTTGAAAATACGAGGAAGGTGGAGAAAGGGGGACAAATAAAAGATGTACGGATATAGTACTAAGCTGCATCGCTACAATATCAGCCAACTCCAAGGGAGTTTGGTGTCCACCTAAAATGCTCTTATTACGTTCACTTCAAAAATGATTGTTGAACGTGTTTTTTTTTAACTTAAAAGCACACATTGTGTGCATATAGATCTAGAGCTAGCGATTGAGCAACCACACACCAAATCAACAAAATGCAATGTAGCCACGTACGACTACTACTACTACGTAAAGATTCCACGTACTAAAATCACTACGTAAACATGCCACCACCACCTACTACTACTACGTAAAGATTTCACGTACTAATACTACTACGTAATAATTGTTACGATTACACTACACAAAGTTTCCATCACTTCTACTATGTAAGTATGTAACAATTCCATTGCTACTAACTAATACACTGTAGTCCACAACTACTACTACTCCTACTACCAGGATACTAGCATACAAAAGCTTTTTTTAAAGTAAAACTCAATCTTCAACATTCAACAAAAAGGTTAAAAAAAAAATTAGGAATCTTGTGAAAGCACTAGATTCAGAAGCATCTAAAATCCATTCACTAAAGTTCAGTCTACAAACTTAAATCCTGGTACAGTGGTACCATCTCTAATTCAAGCATCACTGAGCAAAAAAATTTCCTAACATAAAGAATTGAGAACTTGCAAACATCAGAATGTTGCTCACAAACTCCACAAACCTAACCATTCCTAACCCCCAGTTTTATCATTTTGTGAACCCGATTTTCGCTTTTGGTGGAAGAGAGGTCAACATAATGGACCACCCAATAGTCTCTTGTCATGGTCAGATGAGATAACCATACCGAATGTCCGAGGCTACTCCTATTACTGTCAATTGGTTTTGAAATGTAGATCTCAGTTTGACTCCCACCATTTTCATAAACAGATCACCCCCTTTTTCACTACTCCGTAATCATTCAAAAATTAAACAAATCAACAATCTAATTTATTAACAATTTTTTTACAGAATTGAAACTTCACCAGCTAAATTTCACAACATCAAAACTCAATTACATCCACTTCTAAACTTCAACTTAAAACACAAGTCATTTTCATCAAATTCTATAAATATCTCACAGTAATTAACCATTCTAACTACCCCCATCACCAAAAAATTACCATCCCTTCAAAAATCACATGAAAAAACAATCAATTCAATAAACCCAGCAAAATTCAATCTAAACAACAAAAATTGATTCAATTGATTAATTTATACCTTTGTAATTATATTTGCGAAGAAGGGCACCAATAATATGACGAGTAGAATCATCAGCTTCAACAAGAAGAACTCTGAGCACCATTCTTGGCATTATATTCTCCCATTTCAAATCTTCTGACCCATTTTCTCTCTCCTCTTCTTCTTCCTCGACCTCCATTACCACCACATCCATGTCTTTACCAATTTACCCCCTCTAAATTTAATCTAAATTCAATCAAAAAATTTATAAAATTAACCACCCCCTTTATCTTCTACAAAATACCCACAAAACCTAATTATAAACACTTCATTCTCCATTCTACAAACCCAACTAATTTTTCACTTTTCTTCTTTCTTTCACTGTACATTGACCCATCATCTTCTTCTTCTTATTTTTTTAATAATTAATTTCCTATTTTGGAAAAAATCCAGAAATTTCTCGAAATATCTAGAGGGTAATAAACGATCTTTGTTCGGCTAAATGATGTTAATTTTGTAAAAATTAAAAATTGAGAAGTTTTTAGAGAATTGTAGTTTCAAGTTTGAAGAAGAAGAAAGGAAGTCTCTTTAAATTAGAGCCGCAAAAAACGCAGAAAATATCTGCTGAGAAGAAGAGAGAGAATATGAGACAGAAATCAAAAGCGGGGCCGCCATTGGTTTCTGGTTGGTTGATGCTGAGTTGTCTTATTGCTGATCACTAGTTTTCATTTCTATCGCACATGCTTTCTTTTTTTTAGTAGGCGTACGAATTACTGAGTGAAGGTTTTTTTGATCTTCTTACGACTATAATGATGTACTGATGTGCACTACTATGGCCCCTATCTCACTCTTGTTACACGTAACACCATTAGTAGATGGCGTCTGAAATTACCATTCATAAAGTAAAGCTGAGTTAACGAGTTAGACAATGTAAGAATTGGAAAAGTAAGGGAGTTTTATTTTACCAACAGAGCTCATTGTGAAGATTGAATTAAATCTTATTGGAATGTATTTTTCTTACCACTACACTATTACTTTGTTGGTTGATTTACAAATGAAACTACTAAAAATGCATGTATAGAGTTATTGACAATGTATACGGGTATCAATGAATACTAGAGTTATTTGTATATACTTTGATAGGGTTATTAATTGGATTACCACATAAGATGAATTATATACAACGAGAGTACTTCTAATTCAATAAATTTGATATGTTTCGATAAAGTTGTAGGAGGACTTGCCTACAATGATTTAAGGGTTTATTAATTACGACTTTCCTTTATTGGTAGTTGGTTGATTAATTTATTTGTCTAGCTAGATGAATTAAATAGTAGATACTTTAACAACTCTTTAAATTATCTCTTTTACCAAACATCAAAATAGTTTATTGTAATAATTGCTCAAATAGCTCTTTTATACAACAAAAAGAATTTGATATCGCTCTTTAGCCATCTAATTGTTCCTATAAACAAAAAACCCAACAATCATCACTATCAAACAGAGTCATTATATATACTGTTATGTAAAATATTTTAAACTAATCTTTATACTCTGTATATTACTATATTAGCAAATGTGTCAATCAAACTATTGCGACTGAACAGTATAGTGCGAAGTTGAGTCCGGTGAGAATGTGAGATCTTTCGCTCCATCATTTTTATGAACCCATAAATATACTGCCGTATCTTAAAAAGGATGGTGTAATATTTGCTGGGCTCAGCATTGAGGCACGTATCATGCAAGTTTGGTTGCTCGGGCCCAGAGTTGGATATTTTTTTTCTCGCACATGGTTACGTCAACCAAGGTACTTGGTTCTTTGGTTATGATTGTGACACGTGTTGGGCTATTTTTTTCAATCATTTGATTTAATTAATGGTTCTCATTTGTCTGACCTTAAAGCGCGGTTTTTTTAATATTTTTTTCCTCTTATGTTTAAAACTGAAATGGACGAGGAAAGACCAAAAAATTTTAATGACTAAGTGTGTGTTCCGATTTATTGAAAATAACTAAACTGATTGGAATTGAAGTGAATTGATTGGAGTTAAGCTGAACTGATTGGAGTTGAACTGAATTAAACTAAAATCTTTAACTATGGATTAATGATTTTTAACTATGAATTAGTAATGATATTAATCCACTAATAATTATGGAAAATAAAATGAAGTTCAAAATTAATCCACTAATAGTTTTTTTTTTCGATTTTCAATTTTCATGTCAATTAATGCCTCCTGTGAAATTAATCTACTGTAATAGTTTGACTGTTAAAAAATGAAAAAAAAAAAAAAAAAAAAACCAAACAAACAAAATATCATTAGCAATATCATTATTATTATCATTAGCAATATCATTAGATATAATGATGAACTTAAAAAGATCGGCCCAAAGACATGCCTAAACTAAATTGTCATTAACAATATCATTAGCTAAATCATATAAAATAAATAAATTAGCAAAAGAACTGAAGTGAACTGATTGGAGTTTAACTGAACTAAACTAAATTAAAATTAAGCTGAACAGAACAACACCTAATCCGTTTTTTTTTTTTAACTGAGTTATATCACTTTTCTAAAACAAGAGTTTTAAATTAGTTGCATCACTTTTCTTTTGAATTGATATAAATTCTCTCTATTTCTCCTATTACATGGGTCTTATTTATTTTTTCACTCTACATTTCTCTATTCCAAAAATTGTCCAAGTATCGTGAAAATTAAAATGATGCAACTTAATAAAAACGAAGGAAGTAATGTAAAATCTAGTATTGTACTCCGTAGTTCGTACCCTGGATATGAAGGATATTACGTGAAGTTTCTTGATGTCTTTGTAAGGGAACACTAGTACATAAATTCTTGGCCTCCACTAGCTATAGTCCATAAGGACTCAACTAAGGTTATTTTCATAAATTGACCAAAAAAAAAAAAAAGAAAAGAGTATCCTACCTGTATACTAAAATTTAGTACCATCGAGATATATATGTAAGACCATCTTTAGTAGTATCTAAATACCATCCTACGATAAATTGGTATTGTTCTAGTACTGCGGTTGGTAGCATATTTAACAAATATTGTTGTTGGTATATGTTATTATATTGTTAGTATCTTAACCACGTCTATTTTGTATTTGTTGGTATCTCAGATGCGTCGATTTGGTATCAGAGTCATATGGTCAAAAGTTAAACTAAGTTGTTAATTAAGTTAATAATTAAGTAAAACTGGAGAATACTAGGCCTTCTACTGAGTGTAAGGAATCTGATTTTAAGCATTATTATCATATTCCTAAAAATACTAGTAATTTTGGCCCATTCCTTAATTATATAGTAGATCAAATTGGTGAATTAAGATCAGAGGTTGATAACGTACATGCTCGTGTATTAATATCGAAAACAAGATATCAATAACCACAACCGGTATTAATAAAAAAGTAAGTTATTTAAAAGAACAAGTTAAATAAGTATAACTTGTTTTAACAAACGAAGTTAGACATCAATCTAATAAAGAAGTATCACCTTATAAGGAAAAAATCATCCCTTATAATTAAATATAAGTATCCTTTTCAAAATCTAGATAAAAATAAAAATTTTAATGTTTCACTCCCTAAAAGACCCACTAGTGAAAAAGAAAAGAACAAAGAGACTAAAGATGAGCCATTATCTTCAGGAAAAAACGCTTGAAGAATTACAAATCTTATTTGATAAAGAAGAAGACCCTGATAAGCTAAACAAAATCATGAACTTAATTTATGAAAAAGGGATTACTTCTGAAGTAGAAGAAAATAATTATGTTTCTTTAGAAGAAGATTTATACCAACAAATGGGATTAATGAAGTTAGATGGTCTAGACTTTTTGTCTATAGAAGTTATTCAACAAAAGATTGAAAACAAATTAGGTAAAAGAGTGATGGATAATAATGATGTTGGAGAAGAAATTATGAGTGAAAATAATAATAACAATGTTATCCAAAGACCTAGGTATCAAGGAGAAGGAAGTTATACACAACCAAGATACATACCAGGGAAGACTACCCGATTTAGTGTTAAGGTTATGCCTAATCAAATACTTAACACAAGAAGTGACTCTTGAACCTATAAGTCAAACAGGTTATAAGCTTAAATTAGATGGTGTAAGAGATACACGAGATGTTTTAGATCAATAGAAGAAAAGTATGAGTAGTGTACTTAATTTAAACACTAAATGGACTTTTGAAAATTTCTTAAACTATATAGAACATAGTTTTTATGGTTGTGTAGAAGATTGGTATGATGGTATAGATGAAGAATTCAAAGCCACATTAAGAGCTAGAGAATCTCCTACTATAATGTTTAGACAGTTATATCATTACATCGAGTTAGAACTCATTGGTTTTAGAGCTGATCCTAAAGAAAAACGGATGGAATATTAAAGAATGTTAAGTAATTTGTCCATCTGTAATATGAAATATGTCAAGAGCTACATTATAGAATTTGAAATATATTATTATAAAATTGGTGAAAATGAAACAAATCTCGGAATGTTCTATGATAAATTACCAAGTCCTCTTAATGAAGAAATTAGTGAAAAGTATCAAGATTGGAGAGAAAAATTCTTAGCTAGGGATGCCCTAGGTAATAGAATTGTTTTTCTAAGAAAATGGATTGAAAAAAAATGTAGAGAGGTTGCAGGAACTCAACAAATGAAGAGACAATTTTTCACTTGTTGGGATTTCCCAAATAACTATGAATGTGAAAGAACAAACTATAACAAGAGAAGAAACTATAAGAAAAATAAATTCGATAGATCAAGAGGAGAAACCTATAAGAAGAAGTAATAAAAACATAAATATAGAAAACCCAGTAGGTTTTTCAGAAAGGCAGCATATTGTCCTGAGAAAAAGAAAACATGCAAATGTTGGTCTTGTGAAGAATTAGGACATTATGCTAATGAATGTAAGAAAGTTGATCATAAACTAATGGAAGCCTTAGGTAGTTGGGATTATGTAGAAATTCCAGAAGACGAGGCTTTAAGTAATAATAAAGGAATACTAGAGATAATAGAGGAGAAAATGAAAATAATGAATAACCTAAAGATAGTGAGTTTGAAGATGAAAATTATGAAAAAATAAATAATATGATGGAAGGAAAAGTATTAGAAAACTCAGAATCAGATGATAATGAGGATAAAAGTAAAACGACTAATGGTCAACTAAAAAGAGTTGAGTATTTAATAGAAGATAAAGACCTATATTAAATGAACAATGAAAGTTGGAATTTTCCCCAGATTACTAAAGATAAAATATTTAAAACTTCTTTCTTTAAAACTAGAGCTAAATATGTATGTGAAGAAATGGAAGGAAGTATAGTAATCGAAGGTTGTGAAAAGAAAATAGCAGAAATTAATATCATAAACTGGGAAAGCATTAAGAACCGTAAAGAAAAAGGAAATTATAGTTATTTTTGTATTGGTACAGTACAAGTATACATAACACCTTTACAAGATTTTGGCAAGGATGCTAAATGTCTAAGCTTTGTTTGTGATGTTAGACATAAAGAGTACTATAATCAAATAATTAGTGGTATCACATGTAATTTAAGTCAAGGAACAATAAGCTATACATGTGAACCTAGATATTATGTGAGCTT